AAGCGGTTATTTTAATATTACAAACAGACACTCCAATTTTATTTATTTGTATAGATTGAACTTAGCAAAGCCTGTGCTATGGTAACCAGACTGCTGATAATACTTAAATATTTTTCTAAATACATACATATTACACATAAATTACACCCAAATACCCAATAAATATCGTGCTCATTACAAAATATTTGTCCTGGGCAAGAATCGAACCCACGACCTTCTTAGCAGTCAGGATCACTAACCACTATACCAACAGGCCAGTCAAATGCTTTCTTTGAGTATTAAAATGCAATTAGATATTATAAAAAAATACTCCGTATTTTTTTAAGATATAAGGATTTATTGCATTATAGTACATTTCATTACACATTAATAACATTTCAAACATTGAAACAGTAGTATCACAATAACGATATAATTAGGAAGCCGTGGCAACAAACACTTCCATAAAAAAGATTTTAGCTATCATTAATTTAAAAATGTCACTGGATTTGCGATGACTCTTCGTTCTTTTTATGCTGAAAATTCGATATGCACGTACTCCGTTATGACTTTGGATTTTGGAAACTCGTAATTTTTTATCGTTATGACGAAAAGCAGCACAGATAATGTCAGGCCATGTCTTTACTTAGCATAATACATTACGCAATATTGTCATAAATCATTATCATTGTCTCTTTATTGTTTTACATTTTAAAGACTATGACCAAATACGTTACACTGAAACGTTACGTTACATGCACAGAAACACAAAGTACAGATGAAAAAAAAACACGAGATGATAGAAAGTTACATTCTCTCAATCTCAATATTTTATTTCACTATATAAAAAAATTGCATGACTATTTGTGTCTCTATAAAAATCGTATTCAAACTAATAAATAGTAACATGGTTGACTGTGCGTTTCCAAAGTTCATAAAACAAAACACGTGAGTGGTTTTGTCATGTTTTATGCTACATATTTTATCTAGGTAATAAAACATACAATATCGTTAAAGTTGGAACACGACCAAAATTGGTCTAGAGTAATTAGCCTCTGCTGTATAAGATGGATTATTTTAGGTATTAAAAGAGTGCTACACTACTATCGTCTACGTAGCTAGTATAAGTATTTAGACATAATATACATACATAAGTATGTATATTTCAGACGTTTTCCGTTTATAAATGATGTATTTACACAAATCAAACTTAAAGCATCTACTTGAATTGAAATGCACCTTTTTAAATCAAAGAACATAGCGTAAAATGTTCAATTTACAGTCGGCTGGCTTTCGGGTCACCGACGGTTGTACTGAATTCTAAGCAGTATTATAAGTGCGAATGTGAGTTCGTTTGATTATTTGCTTGTTATGCTTTCAAACCTTGACTACTCAAACGATTATAGTCAAATGCATACGAATACATGTTTTCAAGAACTAAGAGGGTTAAGAAAGGACTGTAAACGAAAAAGGTTTTATGCAAGCGAAGTGGTTTGCTAAAGCTAGTCTCTTATGAACAAAGATCTGTAAATATTCAAACTCGTAAGTTTGAAGAATTTTTATATAGTTCAAATATTGCGTCGCGTGAATGCTTTAATTAATTTGATAATAAACATTCTTCATTTGTTTAAGTACCCGTTGGACCTCCAAGTTTCGACCTCATGGACATATATGACCCTGACCACCTTGACCCGTTTGGACCTTCACACTTAGGTTTTGTCTTAGTTAGACCATTTATCAAACAACATGTTCCGATGGACCTCATACATCTTCGTATGAAAAGCTAAAATAAAATCGTGCATAATATTGAAACAATTTATTAAAAATAAAACACTATAAAATTAATCAACATTTTTATAAATAAAAATATAATAACAACAAAGTTTTATTATGTATGTTCTCCATAACTCCGTCATATATAGACGGCTTTGCAAAATTCTTTTATGGTTCGAAATTATTTATGATTATTATTTAGACAAACAACGGAACTCTTCAAAAAATGACAGCTAGTGCTCTTTATTACTATTGTTTGAAGTCGGTTTATCTTTTTTGAAAAGGATTTTATTTGTTACAAATAAAATCACCTATTCCAATTAGATAACGCATTTTTATAATTTCACAGATTTTTAAGTTACTAAATATAAAACGTGCATTTTGTATTCATTTAATATGGTAACGTGAACGCTGTTCAAATAATTACAATGTTGTTCTCGTTGACTATGTTTGTCATTATAAAGTAATGTATATTATGAGTATAAGTATAATAATGTAAATAAATCACAAATCAAATAATAAAATCAGTCTTAATCTAAGGTAAACTGACTAAAGTTACTAAAATATTATTATTGTTATACATGGCTGTGACTCATGAGTCCTTTAAATAATTACAATAAAATTTATGTACATACTTTATATAATATGAACTTAGAAGTAGTTGAATTCAAATTTTACCATGCTCAGTAGTAGAAATGTTTATGATATCCATAGTTCTGTTATTATTTTATTACAATTATTCTATGTACTATATTAATATTATTAATATTTCAATAAATGGTTTCGCATATGGAATAGGTCTTTTCTCTTTTCTTTTTTCTTAGAGAAGGTTAAATAAATAGAATCTAATGCTGAGTTTGAATGTTTTTTTTTTGGCTTGGGTATATCCTCTATCTATTTTGTAATGCCATAGGGGGCAAACGATAAGACGGTTCACCTGATTGTATGCGACTACCGCCGCCCATGAACACCTGCAACTCAAGAGTCACAAGTGAATTGTCACCGCTTGAGTCCCCCCCTTGAATCAGGGGTTTGGGATCCAGTAACCTCACTCCTCACATTGTGAAAGAACCTATACATGTAAAAAGTTTAAAAAGTAAATAAACAAAAATAAGTAATAAAGTATATTACTTGGAAATAAACATGTTTTCTTCCCACTTCCCACACACCTCTTTGAAATGGGTAAGTAACTACATACTTATGTGTATACTTTACGTTCCCATCGAATATTAAGCAGTAATCAAAGTGAAAGCGAAGTATTACATCGTTCAAGGACCTAAACTTACGAGCTGAAGACATCCTTAACCTGATTCTCCAATCTAAGACTTCGGTGCGGGTTTCTTGTTCTAGCCTTTTCTTTTTTTTTGTATTTGACTTGGTTATGAAATGTATTGAGAATACTAGTTTTAGTTTTTTTTTATAGGATTACTCATGTCACTAAAGTGGTAATTAACTACTATCAAAATATAATAAATTCACTTTATATTACATGCCTATTAACTGAGTATTACCGTAGTGAATCTATTTTGAGAGTAACAATTACTACTATTAAAAAATTGATTATTTATATTTCTGAGAAGTTGACGTCCATTAAATTCGTGACACTAATGACTTCCTCGACATGAATGAATCCATACGCCAGGTGGAGTTCCGTATATAATTTATAATTTCTAGAATTACCACGATCAAGATGAAGCAAGATCAGACGAGTTAGCCCGTGAACACGGCCAGTATAATTTTTAATAAATAAATAAATAACCTGCAACGCGAACGTTTAAAGGTTAACAAGCTCGAATGTGTATGAGTCTTGCAATATTTTGAATAGACGACGTGTTATACCAAGCTATGGCTATGACTATATTCCACATACTATACAAATGGTTTCTTGTATAAATCTAAAATTGATGTACAAATAAAATAAATAGTTTTATAGATCTGGTACAACATTTTCTACTTACTTGAAGTCATGTATAGAGAATATGTATTTCATATTTCAGTATACAGAATATCGGCACATTGCTTTACAACATGTCCCAATAATGATCGAGCGGGTCATATTAGCGAGTTATCACTAGACTATCAGACTATCGTCCGAGTCCCTTGTGGTACTCTCTGGCTTTAAGCCCTGCCAGTACTCTTTTAAAGGTTCAAGGCTAGGTTATATGAAGTCGCGATCGGCCCGGCTGAGCAATTATGAAAAAAAACTACACCCGAATAACTACACTAATTTTTTTATGGTATCAGGAGTAGCTGTAGTAAGTGACTATCGTTGCCCACGGACACTAGGCCTTGATCCTCAACAATAAAAAGCAACGAAAGGATATCTTAACACTGGTTTCCTATGAGAATGTTGTATCACTCCATTCGAGCCGGTCCGTATCTACCAAAGCAGGACACCACCCATTTTTTCTGATGTTCTCGTCTTTTAAACGTCATGTATATGCACAAACTAATGACTTAACCAGGATTGGACATATTTTACATAAGAATAACAATAAATTACTCTTAAATACAATCTTGTGAAAAAATAAAAATAAAAGTTTATTTGACTTAAGTATGTGTAATGTATACACATAAAATTCATACCTCTAACGTAAAACAGAATGGATCACAGAACGTACTGAAACTGTATTCCATACTAGGCTAATACCTGTATTATGGAAGACGTTTAAACATGTTAATATAATACAGCAATATGACGCATGAATCACGTGTAATCGCAGTGCACAAACTTTCATCAATTTGGGATATTTTTTAAATAAAGGTGTTTTTACTATTTTTATACGAATAATCAATTGCCCTGTGAATTTAAAGGAACTGACTTTAGCGTACCGGTGTTGGATCCTGCTCCTGTTCTCAGTGGTGTTTATTTTTAAATATTTCGTTATTTAATGTAAATTATACGTAAATATAACAATAATAAAGAGTATTAATGAATGCTATTGAAATAAAAAACTTCCTATTGTAAAATATCATAAATTAAAGTCCCTTAAAAATATTTTTTTGTATTCTAATTTAAATATGATACGATATATATGATGAAACGACATGTGAAATATAACATTGTAAAAAATAAGATTTAAACCGTTAGGTAATATATTTTCTAAAGTAATATTTTCCTGCTACGCTCCGATTGCAAAACTCATAGCTTATCATTGAATTTATTATACTTTACCTCTATAAACAAGTACTTAAACGAAATTTGTTTCCACAGTTACATTTTCTCAAATGCTGGAACATTAATAGACATGTTGCGGGAGCTTTTGTTTTTCAATATAATATTATCTCCCTTGGTATTATCGCGACGAAGGCATCAAAAGCAGAAAGAATCATCTGAAGAATTGGGTGGAGATTTGATAACTTCTTTAAGAAATGATGCAAATTTAGATCTTTCTATGGATGAAGAGTATGAAGATTTGCGAGCTGAACTACTTGCATACCATACAGCTTTATCATCCCTTTCTGGGACGAGAGTTGATGATGGTTCATTGCCACCCGAAGTAGCTGAAGCCGTTGCTGCAGAACCAGGCAATAACGTCGACCTTGACACTCGTAGTGAGTACATTATTTACTCAGGAGAACTTTAATATACTATTCATTAACATTTCATTTACTTTCATAACCCAGCTAAAGAAAATAAAACGGATCTTCTTATATCAAATTTAAATGTGTCAAGATAATACGAGTTCTTGAGTGGAGACCGCGTCTCGGTAAACGTAGTGTAGGACGCCCACAGGCCAGGTGGAGTGACGATTTGCGCAAAATGGCTGGCAGGAGCTGGATGCGAGAAGCCCAAAATCGATCTAAGTGGCGTGCAATGGGAGAGGCCTATGTCCAGCAGTGGACTGCGATAGGCTGATGATGATGGAAGCTAATACTAAGCTAATACTTTAATTTTAGTTTACGTTATAATTTGTAAAATCATAAGGTAAACTAAAATTGATAACTCCAACAGTGAAACAGTCACACAAAAAAAAAAAAAAAATTCTCAATTGACCTTTAAACGAGCGCTACGCTACTTCCTACTGCGCTGAGTGTTGTGGGTTCGATCCCAACATGGGACATCACTTTGTGTGATTCACAAATTGTTGTTCCAAGACTAGGTTTTTTTTTGTTGCCGTTTCATGTATGTTTGTAAGGTTCCCCGTGACACAGAATATATTTCTAATACCGGCGTTCTCTTTAAAAAAAAGTGAAATACATGATATACCTACCTACCATTCATCGCATGTTTTTTCTTGATTATGTTCAAGACTTAATATTCGTCACAAATTGTAAGTTTGAATTAAACAAAAGAAGCTGGAAATAGTATGGAATTAGTAACTCCATCTCACAGTCTGTATTCAATAATATTATATTGTCTATCTTGTGATACCGGCTTCAAAAGTGCTTTTCAAGAAAATAGAGTCCTTACTACTAACTAAGTCACTGTTTCCAGTACTGGTTACGGCAGTCATCTTAGATATATAAAACCACACATACTATTTACTCATATACGGGGTGGAAAATCCCTTAGGATCTCCGGCTCTTAGGGGACGCAGGAGCCAGGAGTATGTGGTGTTTCCACTATAAACCGCCTAGACAGCCGGTCTCAGGCGCCCTGCCTTGGGGAGGACCCGGACCATGTTATTTCAGGTCCCCCCCGGATCGACGCCGCGCCTAGCCAGGCCCTATCCCGGGGAAAGAAGGCTATCCCGCCTATCGGCCAATAATAATAAAATGTATGTTGCGGCCCGATCGCATTTATTGCGACCAGGCTGCCATCCTATCGCCTACCGCAGCAGTTAATCTGCAACCAGAGGTCCCAACTCTCTGACAGCCCGCGGCCCCGTTGACGGCTAATAACGCCGCCGACGTCCTCTACGCTCGTGATTGGCCCTCTTCCGATCCCGTATCACCGCAAGTAGAGGCGGCGAACTTCCTCCCGCGGATCACTCGATAACCTAACCTGTGAAATAACTCAAACACTTATCGTTACTTTTCATCACAGTAGCTATTTGTCCATACTTTTCAGTAACAAAGTACGATCATTGTTTTAGAGTTATTAAATAGGTATCTTTATACAAGTGACATCTAGTCTAAAGCTTCTTTTCATCATCATTTTTCGTCAAACAATAACGGTATTTTTTTTTATATCAATGCAATGTATCATCTACGCATATTTCTAAAAATATTTTGTATCGAACAAAATTCCGATCTGGGTAATAAAACGTGTAATATCTCGATATTACCTAATCATTGTTTTCCCCAGGATCGATGAAAACGACTCCTTGCTGGAAACTCGGTGGTATTTGTATTCAGCACAAAATGTGCATAGGACATCGGTTTCTTTCTGAAATCCCCGGCTGCAAAGATAAAGTAGAAGTATGCTGTTTTACGTGGAACAAGTTCCAGACGAGGGACATGACAGACAAAGGCGTCAGCAATTTAGCCTTGCCGTGGTCAATCAGTCACCCATTTGGTGGAAAAGGGCTCATTAGGCTTGATGAAGTGCCAGAGGAAATTGATAATAAAAAGAAGAATTCAAATAATGATGACGCCGATATATTGGCCTACGACCTTTCTAGTATTGAAGCACAAAAGAAAAATAAAGTTTTGGAATTACACGAAAATGAGAAAAAACATATAAGTGCCAGAAAGCAAAAACAGGCTCTTATTGTGATTCTGAAACAAGATAGAAAGTAATGCGACAAAAGCGAAGCACTATAGTAGAATTTGTGAATTTACTTGATTTCCTGCTACGTCAATATTTTTGAATAGCAGTAAAACAGTTAATTCAAATCGCTACGTAGCTTATCGTAATTTAGTTTCTTTCTAATTAAAAATTCAGTCACAAGTATTTTTATTTTAATCAACCTTACCATGCAATTATGTAAGCCATTGGAATCATGTCTCAGTTATTTGGAGTTGCAATTTTATTGATTTCAAATACAGTGCTCGCAAAAATAAATTTTGTAGGAGTAGAAAACGTAAAAAGGTTACCAGATACATACAAGGACGTGTTTTTTCCAGGAGCAGGACGAAAACCAGCACTCGGTTAGTTGTTTAAACAAAATAACCTTGTTCTCTAATGAAATGCCTTTAAGGCACTTCTAACGGTGTTTATACTAATAATACTAAATTAAACACAGCTCTAAATGCATTCTTTCTCAGCTCTATTTTAAAGACACGTTTTTTTGTCTGCTTCGTTCGTTTTTTTATGGACATTTTATAAAAAAGCTTTTCTAGAACTCATGATGTACAACATCTGTTATCTCATCTACGATCTGACGGTCAACTCTCATTAGTCATATCAATTAGAGCGAGTTTTATGGCTTCCTTTTACACACTCCCAGCCTTTTTCTCGAAATCACATCGTCGGATAGTACGAAAAGTGAAAGAAAAGATGTTACACAATAAAAACAGAGTTTTGAGGTGAAAAAGGAAAAACATTATCGTTAGCTATTGAATCAATAAACGAAAATTACAACTATAATGTTCGAGTTTTGTATAAAACATTAAAAAATATAAAAAAAATGTTTTATTTTTATTTAGCTCAATCAAAGTACTGGTCAATATTAACTGTACGATTTTGCCATCTTGATGACAGTTTGTTTATCCCTTTACTGTAAAAGTCTGCTGAACGGGAGGCGATGAAGTCAGCCGAAGCATTTTGTACTGCCTCTTGGGTGTTGAATTTTTTCCTACTTATAATTTTTACTAAAATAAAAAGAAAAATAAAAAAAACTGTTGGGGCAAGGTCCGGTGAGTACGGTGCATGAGGGAGAGCTTCCAGTTGTAGCTCTTGTAGCTTTGCTATGGTCTGTTGTGAAGTGTGAGCTCGCGCTTTGTCATGGAGAAGCAAGTGGGAAGAACGATTGACCAGTCGTGGTGTTCGCAATTCTTGGCAATAGACATCTGCTGTCACTGTTGTGCCATTCGGTAAGAAGCTATGATGTACAAGTCCGGCACTGGTCCACCAGACAGTCACCATCATCTTCCTATAGGTAATCTTTTTTTAGCGCACTGATTAGGTCCTGTACCCGGGCCTACCCACTAAGACGAACGCTTACGGTTATCGTACAGGATCCAATTTTACAATGTATCCACAGGTAACAATTCGATTCAGAATTCCCTTGTTTCTATGCCGATTCAGTAGTGCTATGCATGCCTTGACGCGTAAATCTCGCTATGATCGCTTCGTGTGTGTGTAGTTTTTATCTTTCCGATTTGACGAAGCACTAGGCTTCAATCTTCTTTTGACACTAACATAAATGCCTGCTCAGCCATAAATTGAGTTGGATCCGCTTGGACTAACGCCTTTAATTAGTCGTTGTCGATTATAGTTACCGGCCAAAATACCCAAATCTAAAACGATTAAACCAATAATGGACCTTATTTACACAAGCAGTGTTAGGCCCCTTACATGTCGTTAATGTTTCATGTTTATCTATGGCGCCAAATACTACCACAATTTCACAAAAACAAGACACTATCTAAAACAAATGATTCAATTTTAAATTGAAATAATATTTATTTGAATTTCGAATACACAGATAATAAAATCTGAAAATGCAGGTTTTAAAAATCTCCAGTCATATTTAAAGATCCTAACAACAGTGGCATTTTCCAACGCTCTTGACATCAGTAGTTGAGTTACATTCACATACTAATACATTCACACACACATTTTAAATATACTTCAGGGTGGGCATATTTCGTATGATATGCAATGCACAAAGTATTATAGCAAAGTTTTATATACAGTTATAGTTTAGTATAAGTTTAATGTATATTAAAAAGGTTTATAACTAAAACACAGATCTATTGCTTAGTCACGCAAGCGACATTTTATATTCCGTAACTAACGCCTACAGTAACGCGTGTGTTCATTCTGTATATTTCCTAGGCAAATCGATGATCCAAATTTCTTGTTTTAGATCTTGGCACACTATAGACTGAACTAAAATCTAAATATAAATACAGTTTCTGATAAAATTCCCTTGTTTTACTAATGTTCGAGTATAAAAATAAATTGTGGTCGCTTGTAGATTTTGTTGCGATATTACCGATGTTCCACTATAGAAATGTTGTTCATTCACAATGTAAATTAATGTTTCATTTTCTCCGACTGCGAAGCTCCATTCTTAGACACTCTCCATTTAATATAATGGTTAATTACGCAAGGTTTCACGCTTCATAAAATGAGGATTGTTAGATGGGATGTGTGCTTATGCAATTTAACACCCAGTGCCTTCTTTACATATTTATTTCTTTATATTTAAAAAACTTCTAATAAACGTTGTAATGATATTCTAAAGTAAACAAAAAAGCGTTTCTTAACTTAACTTAAATATTGCAACGTGCTTGTGACTCCTGAGTTGGCGGCGGTAGTCGCTTTCCATCAGGTGACCCGTCTGCTCGTTTGCCCCCTATATCATAAAAAGTTATGTAGTCATTCATGCACTGAAATTGATTTTTTACGTTGATATGCTGAAAAACATTTCAGCCCAACGATGTAAAAAAAATTAATCACTTGTCACTGTTTGTGTTTGATTGCAGGTTTCCATCCAACTCATTATTCGTATGTGTGTGTGTGTGTACATGACTCCAATGGTTATAGCGTACCTTCGATATAAATTTTCTGGAAGTAAATACTGCTCCTTTATTTTAAATTCTAATTTTTTTTCTGTCATTGGGGTGACAGTGATCCCAGATTCCCCTTAACACTGAAGGGACAAATTTATAAAACTATCATCAGACCTGGCGTTTTGTATTGTTCTGAAAGTAGGCCCGTTAAGAGAACGGATGAGAGACGCCTGAACGTAGCCGAAATACGAATGCTGAGATGGATGTGTGGTCTGACTCGGATGGACAAGGTTAGGAATGAGTATATACGAGGGGGTCTGAAAGTAGCGTGGCGTGGATGAAAAATTAAGAAGTAATAGGTTATCTCGGTATGGACATGTCATACTTACTGCACCGACCCCAAATAAAATTCGGATAAGGGTAGGCAGATGATATGATTTCTTTCTATTAAATTATAATGATAATAATAATGTTATGACTCATGTGATTGGCAACGATGTATCACTTTTTATTTTTGGGGGCTATCATGTTCTTTCATTATGTCAGGATATCCCTTACATTCAATGTAATTAAGACAGTAAAATTATTAAAATAAGAACATAAAAATGGTTTACACAGGTACATCGTCATCAACTTGTTGGGCGCGCGGTGGCATTTGTGTAGACATCATGAGATGTCCTAGTCTCAAAATGGATGTTGGGGTCCCCGGCTGCTCTTGGGGCTATAAAGTCTGCTGCATAATTCACAGATTGTTATCACCGACTGCAGGTGCCGTTAGACGAGCCCATTTGCCAATCATACGCACACCAGAAGACTTAGGATCTAATTTAATAACGATTGCAGAAAGAAATTCCTTAGCTGTTTCTGGCGATATGGATCAAGACCCAGCAAATGATGAAGTCGAACATGGAGATGTGGAATCACAAATAATATTTTAAATTTACTCAAATGTCAAACAAAATCATTACAAATAAAATTTGACTGTTTTAAATTTGTAATAGATAGGTAAAACGAAGAGTAGAGTAAAATTTACAACAATCATATTATCAACATGTCAGTGAGTTTCACTAGTAAAGGTACCCTTCGATATTTTTTAAGTGTCGTTACGTTTATTTATTTATCATTTGTATATATTTTACACTAAATACCTTCTGCATGATGCCAATAAGCAAGACCATACTAATAATTTTGATGTAAGTAAGCTTTTTCTAAGTTTGTAACTCTTTCGTTTCTTTTTCGACGGACTGCTCTGTTATTATAACGCACAAAAAACGTATTACAGCACTTCTAGCAAAGTCTGTTTTTTTTGTTATTATGTTGGTAGATATAACCCCTTATAAAGATTATTTAGGAAATAATACTGACTACTTTATCTGTGAGCATACTTTAGATTAAGTATGAAGCACTACAACAGGATTTACACTATATCCAAATAAATCAATTAAGGAATTGTATCACAGCAAAGGATCAAATCAAACAGCTCAACCTGTTCTATGAACTCATCGCGATCATAGTCTCTTTTCATTCGTTAAAATTGCAAGCCTGAAATATGAACTAATATTGCGTCAAAGATGTTGGTGGACAATATCTTCAGGAAATATATCGTTGTGATCTTCAGTTACGACAAAAGAACGAAGCGGGAAAATTTCACGTAATAAGATGAAACTGTCAATCTCATTCCTCCAGTATACAAAATGTGCAAAAAAATACAAATGCACCAATTTATTACAGTATAAAAGTAAGCAAAACTGCGAGCTCTTGAGTTAATAAGGATTCTTGGTTCAAAGATGGCCCGTTAGTTTGAATGCGTGCCAAATTAGTTTACCTCGGCTGTTCGGCTGCTTTGAACATTCACAACGAACACAAGTAGTTTATGTATTCGTACATAAAGCCGACCACAAACTACGTTTTGACGTGGAGTTATATGTATGAATAGTAATTTGTAGGCCGGATCATAACGGTTAAGTAAACACCAGTTATGCGTAAATCATTTAGATGTTCTCAACTCAACCACTATTTACTTATCTTGTCAATAACTCAGGATAAATAAAACAAGTTCCATACGTTCCGTAGTTTCAGATGTATTAAAATATGATAATGTATGAAGAACATATAAAATAAATTTTAAAAGCATAAGACAATAGTTGATTTTACTAAATAATAAGTTATTATTTTTTTCGGCTCTAATTGATAGAAAGGCACTAAATTGTTTTCTTGCTGTTAACAAACACAATGTTCATATATTTATGTTCAACACCATTTCAACAACATAAACTATTTGTCCAGTTTTTTATGGCGTCATTTGGAACTTATCAAATAATGTTGGAAGCCAATTATAACCCATGTATTTCTGATGGCAATACTGTATAGGTATTTTGGAGCCCATCTATTTGTGACGCTAGGAGGTAGATAGGGGATCTCTTCACTGGCCACTAACTAGTAAGCCCCTCGAGTTCAGGCTCATTTCGTTTTACCGTGTCGTTGATGACATGACCAGATACCCAAGAGCATGGTACTGCTATATTCGCAGTACTTTAGAGTACATGCTGCTGTATAGTCATGAGATCACACTACGTAACACATAAGCTTACACTAAAAGGAGATGTTTATCTGGCATCTCGCATTTCTTCCAGTTTGAATAAAGGATAAAGTTCAAAGAAATCAGAAGATAGATTTTTTTTTAATAAAGATATGTACTTGATACAATAAGTGATAGATACTCTAAGTGAGTGTCAGAGGCGTTCGATTTAAGAGTTCTTATTTAATACATATTGTCTATCAGCCAAAAATAAGCGTCGTCATTACATTGATAACAGTTTGATCACTAATGAATTTTAATTATACTCTGATGTGTTCCTTGATATTAAAGTTTGTAAATTTCATCAAATTATCATCAAATTCCTCGGAAAGTTTTTGTGAGTTGGAGAAGTGAAAAAACCACAGAAATGTGCCAAACAAATTGAAGTCCGGGATGTTAATTAGCGAAACGTTTAGCAGATTAACTATAGCAAAGATAAGTTTGGTGAAGAAGGATGGCGCGTCATCCGACAATCATGACGTGGCACTCTAGCGGCACGTGCACAATTTTAAAACTGATAAATCCTGTTGGTTCAACTTTTTTTTAAATAATTTATTTTACCATTTTTAGTGTAAGATGTGTTTGTAATGAGTAGATAAGTACGATATTTAAAACACTACGTACCGATATGTACCAAACTGTAGTATGTTTTCTGTTACTGTTTTCCAATACTAGGAGTGGATTTTTTTCTTTACATTTGAATGGAACGAGATGGAAAATATACCCTTAAAAAAAACGATTGACTTTCATTTGTCATAACAAGAGTTTTGAGATAACAAACATGAAAATAATTGTTGATTGGTAATGAAACAAACATTTTTTTTGTCTCAATGTTTTGTAATTTCATATGTTACTCTTTTGTGCACATATCTCTGTAACCCAACACAAACACCTAACAAATATCTTGAAAGAAAAAAAAGTCAATGCATGATTAGATTTTTGAAAGAGTTATCCTCTAACTCCTATAGGCCAAGAACCCTTCCAACATCAGATCAGCAACATGACATAACGACTACTAAACGCAAATACCTATATAGCTGGACAAACAAACAAAAACACGTTGTCGGGCCTGTATAATTTGAGGGTTTCTCTCGATTTTTCTAGGATCCCCTGATCACAGAATATGATTTGGTGATAATGGACCAAATAGGGAGTATACCCTTTCGATTACAAAAATAATTTTGTAAATCGGTCAATAATTGACGGAGATATCGCGTAACAAACGTGCAAAAAAAATACAGAAGAATTGATAACATCCTCTTTTGTGTTTTTGAAGTCGGTTAAAAATATCCAAACCTTTGTGAATTATTTTACAGTGAACTGCCAATACCATTTAATGACTGCTCCACCTACTGAAATATTTAATTGTTTAATACTTAAGCAATAGGAATATATAATGAAGACTTATGACTTATGTTTGACTGGCCTGTTGGTCTAGTGGTTAGTGACCCTGACTACTACGCCAGAGGTCGTGGGTTCGATTCCCACCCAGAACAAATAATTGTGTGATGAGCACGGTCATTTGTTCTGCGGCTGGGTGTACTTTATCTATAATATGTATGTATTTAGAAATATATATGTATGTTTATCAGCAGTCTGGTTACCATAGTACAGGCTCTGCCTAGTTTGGGATCAGACCGCCGTGTGTGAGATGTGTGTGAAAAATATTATTTAATATTATTTTTATTTTATATAGACAACTACACGGATACGATCATTGAAATTAAATAAATTATTATCTCTATTTCCAATTAACATCGTTACTTCTGTTTTGTAATCAGTTGAGATTTAATAGTGTTTTATCTCTTTTTCTATTCATTTTAGTTAAATTAAAAAAAAACTCTAACTCTAAAAAACAGTAAAGTGAATCAATTGCTCACATTAAAATAAAAAAAATAGTTAAAAGTACAACGCAGATATTTTATAAGATGTATAAAGGGAAAAAGAAATGCAGTTTCAAACTTAATTACTGTTGATAGTGTTATAAGTGTACGTACTGAAATATTGTGGAGCTATTGCCACATGATAGCGAATACTTAATGCTGGTCGCGTGCTACCTAAAGTAATTGAAAAATGCCGCGACTTACTTTGGACATTTAAAACTACCTCCCCAAATATGTCAAGGTCTTATAACTTTCAATACTCGCAGGAGCTTATGTTACGTTTAACAAAAATTACCAGTGATTTTAAAGGACCTCAATTATTTCAAGAATAACTTTTTAGCCGCGTCTTACGAGAAATTCATATTAGTGCGTTTGATAAAAAGGCCTTGGTGCCTGGTTAGAGCTACATATCATTTCTGTATCACTTACTATCGTTAAACTAAAGATAATAGTGACTACGAGTGACAGCACGTAGCTTTGAAGCATTGGCGTAGCATAATAAAAAGGCGTCGCGTGTACACAAGTTACAGTATCACAATCACGATATACTATAATCATTTATAAAAAAATCATCGATTAGAAACCCGCGCCCTCTACAGAGCGTTTGAATAATTACTCGTATCTGTAATAAATAGATAACTCCAACATGTATATTTGAAATAATGCAGCTATAAAATATTAAGAAAATTTTATTCACATGAGTGCCAGATATGTGTTAGTAAAAAAATTAAAAAATTGCAGTCTACTTTTCTAATGTAATATTTACTTTATTAAAATCAAGTATGTGCAATACTCGTATTACAGTTTCTAAAATCATTTTTCATTATAAACTTTCGTAGCAACTTCAAAAAATGTGTTACAGATTAATAAATTAAAATCATAGAATATCAAGCGGATCGCATGCTTTTTTATTAAATATGTACTAAATAAATTCAAAGATGAGAATAATCCTTTCTTTTATAATCGAAGTATAACTGAGCTATTCTACAAAAACTTTGAAAGTTTAAATTTGAATAAGGCTGCAACAGGTGTAACCCATCGAATAAAAAATTGTGCAAAAGCCATTACGAACATAATGAATATCAGATCCCTGCAATATACCTTGGAACGAAATTACATCGTCAGTGATTTATTCCTAATACCACAGTCCATAACATTCAGGCAAAATTATACTGAAACATCTTCGGGTTGCGTAATAAATTGTTCAATAGGCAGGTTAATTAGACAATTTCTCTAAATGGCAACGCGTAAATCGGAATAGCCAACCTAAATGGTTCGCATAAAACACTTCTCTGGATAACAAATGAATTCTTAACAAGACTGAAGATATATTGATAGTAAAGAAAGGTAATGCGGTGAATAGCAATTAAAAATGTAAGTCTATCCGACAATAACGGAGTATTTTTAGTTCTGTGGTTTCGCATTTTAATTTATAATACATTATTTATATGTAAAGAAAACTTTGAATATTGTTCTA